GGACGTGAGATTATTTATGTGCAGTGCGAAACTATGCGTACACGAACGCATACACACAACGACAGTCCTGAACTTCCAGGTGATTTGATTTTTGTACAAAATCCCAGCGTCCAAAGGAATATTTATTTCTTCAAATTTCACGAAAGTCAGTGGATAGGAGGGCAATTCTGTATTTGTTGATAATCACTACTGATGGTTGGCGGAATTTACTTCTCCCGTTCAGCCATGGGACTCACTCTCGAGCCCAACTAACAGCCGCACAGCGCCTTTTGGGAGTTTACAAAGACAGGGAAGACTGGAATCGCCATTTCTGTCTCATTAGCCATCGTCAACCAACCATACACAGCGCCAGGTGATGCACCACCTGGCAATGTCAACCTGCTTACAATACTAGCCGTTGTGCGACTGGGGCTCGAGAGTGAACCAGAAGGTAGAACGGAACGAGTGAGTTAGCTTAACAGTCGGTGAGTCTTCTTCCACCAATATCAATAATCTCGATCCAAAATGACAAGACATCGACCCCGTGACTGAGTGGTTAGGGCGTTAAATTTCTGATCAACATGTCGTGTGTTCGAGCCTGGGGTGGCACAACGCCTGGGGTTGAGTATGACTGACTACTAACGGCTAATGAGGCGGAAATGACCGTTCCCGTCTCGCTTGTCTTTGTCGGCATCTTAAATTTATAATACTGTATGCAAGTTGCCAAAATGAAACAAAAATATGGCCTCGGAACTAGGGATTGCGCTAACATAAAAAACATTTCTGATTGGACAGAATAAAATGACTGCCGACTGAATATTACCCGTCAGAGTCATCGGTGGTTCACTTAGTTGATTTCGGTGGAGTAGAGAGCCGACCAGGATAGTTAAGCAAGTAATACAGAATGGAGACTGTGACGACAGTTTCTGGCCGTCGTCAGCCAGCCATACCAAACCTCAGTTATGCAGGACCTAAGATTCCAGTAAGGATCCTTTGGCAACCGGGTTTGTTGAATCCAGTGCGATATTTAATTAACAAGAGAAGGGCTTCGTCGGGAAACAATACATACATGCATAAAATATACAATAAAATATGATCATATATACCTTGACAGACCTTCATAGACTAAAATTATTGGGAACTAGTACATACGAAATGAAATTGTTCCTGACAATATCAGATCGCCAATTTCGTGGTTTGGAGTCGCCGGTCAAGTGGGCAAGTATATTTACATTCTCCCAACTCCCAAGGCGACCCACATCTGTATGGAAAAAGGTTCTACCGGCATTGTAAGACGGAGTACGTGCACACAGAAATTGTAAAATTGTAAAGGCCGAGCTCAACAAACGCACAATTTATTATAGGGGAAAACCCGGCATAGATTAGAAGAAATATAAATTTAATAGACTCCATGCACTGCGACTTCATGCTGTATTTTATGTTTCTCATAAGCCGCCATCATAAGGCGTTATAATTTAAGTGAATACTTTCTGCACTTTTTAAGCCTCCCAGCAACCCCGGTTCGCTTTTAAGTGAGGGCACTGAAACGCCGGTTTATGTTCCTCTCTAGATGTGCAATGTATTCAAGTTAAATTGCATAGCCAACTTAAAAACTTAGATGGTTGGTTGCCCGACTATGTCACTCGTCTTAAAGAATGTCCTTTACTCAGATGGAGATGAAATAGACTGGCTTTGTCCTACTGACAACACACCTTTGCCTAGCCTTAAGGGAGCCACGGACCGAACACTTTCGTTTGGTTTGTTTATTGAGAACAATCAATTAAAAGAGGCTGCATGGATTTTTTGGCAACTGGGGAGCCACGGATCCTTTTTCCTTTCTGTTGCGACTGGGACTATTCGCGCTCGGGGGAGTTCGTTCAGCATATACCATTCATGACCACAGACTAAATGTAGGAAGGGAACTGGTAAAGTCGGCAGGTATTTTCGCCTGACAATATCAAATCACTTACTTCTTGATAGGGAATCAGTGATCCACCGGGCAAGTTGTGGGACAAACGCTGGCCAAATCACATATTTCCAACTCGCAAGACGCACTTCATCGCCTGCTTGGGCGGGGGTTCTATTGCGAGTGCAAGACAGGTCAGTTTCATACAGAATCGCAAACTTACAATTCTTTAAGCGGAAAATTACGGAAAACTATGGCTTCCCATATGGCATACCGAAATGATGCTGTTCGAGTTCCTTATTACTCAGACTCTGCTGTCAGGCATGTTAGAACGTGAACCACTTGTACCCTTCAAAATACGCCAGTCATTTTCGCATATTTTAAGAACACGTAATTGACTATGAAATGAGTACGAGGAAGGATATTTTGGCCGAAGTTTTCTATAAAATATATTTTAATTTATAGGGGTGTCAAAAATAAACGAGAAAATGAGAACTGCTTAAGTAGCCAGTCTTTAAAGATTATACTTTTGCAGACGGTCAAAAAAGTTCGTTCAAATGCCGGCATCCTGTCGATAATGAACTATTGTGAGATAAGGTTACACGTAAACAATATTACAACCCTACTTTGAGTCGAAAACATATTTCCGTTTAATAATTCCGTTTAAAATTCCTGAGATATGGGATCCACTGTAAGGCCATGTGTGGGGCGGTCGCAGCAATGAAAATTGCGGTAAGGTGCATTTCACAGAAAAAAACAAACATAGCACGACGCAATTCCTTTTTGTTAAGCATGAAATGTATTTTAATTCGGGAAGATTTTGCCTTTATTTCCGGAATGGCCAATGCGACTCAAAGTATCCTCGTAGTATTAGTATACCGTGTTGAGTTCGCTGCAGTGAGTAAGTCGGAAAAGGTAACGTTGTTTGAGTGTGTTTAATGCCGAAAATGGCTTATAAAACTGCAATAGTTTGTCTAACTCGTGAAGTTTAAGTTTACGGTCATAGTTATCGGTACGATTAAACAAATTTTGTTATATTAATTTATAACTGCATTTTATAGTCTACAAGTTCACATATTAGCAAAAATTAATTTTTAAAACTGGAATTACTTCTTGTTTCTGAAACTAATTGCGATCCCCAAACTTGGCATCACTTGCATTTGGGCAACTTCGAACTAAATTGAGGGAAATATAGGTCAAAGGTATTTACCTATATTTCCCTCAATAAAAACCTGAACCTGAACCTGAACCTAAATTTGTCCGTTCTGTAAGGGACATTTTTAAATTTTTTTTTCTTTCTTATTTTTGATCTCTTCCACAGTATAATGCATGTTGATAAAAAGTTTGGTTCTCCCGTGCTTTATAGCATAGGAAATTTATTAGATATAAACTTACTCACGATTTAGCCAAAATTAGTGTCCATAACCCTAACTAAAAGGGCAGTTTTCTGAACTAAAAGCCTTTCTTATTATTAAATTCACTCAGCAGATCAAAATAACCCGGCCAAACATGTGCTTAATTACCAAGTTAAATTTCGTCATGACTTTTGCATGCAGCACTCGCCATACTGTATACAAGAGGTTGCATAACTGATGAAATCCCAGGATTTTAATAAGAAACTTCCCAGTACTTAAAAATAACCCAAGCTACGTTCCACAAAGTCTTGCAGTAGAAAGGTAAACATGCTTATAAAAAGGAAGACAAAGTGTGGTTGATCAAGTAATATTATACGATATAGAAAAAGCAGCTTTTTGGAAAAACAGAAAATTCCGAAAAAGTGAAAAATCGGGGCTATTATGAAAACTGTAGTTTTAAATGTAAAGGTAGTCTGTTCATGCATAAAACTGGCTGAATAAAGGAACGCGAGTAGAATAACGTTTATTATACTGCACTGGTGAAAATATTCGGACAAATGCGCTTCCACATTGCGCGCAATACAGAGTATGGTATAGTGCGGAGTCAAAAAAGCACTGGAACGCAGAGAGCACATAGCACACAAAAATGTCTAGTTGTTTCTTAATTTATATCCTCCTGACGATAGGTTGGACCAAGTCAACCAAATCTTCACTAAATTTTGCCAGTTGGGACGTCACAGTAGTAAGGTATCTTGTGAACTAAAATGTGGACATACCGATCTTGAGAGAAATCTCCTTTCGCCAAATTTATTTGTAATTATTTCGAGAGTATGATTACGACAGGGTTCTGACCCTTCTTGAAATGCTGTGTACTCGACTGTCCATAAATACCGATTCCGTTCTACGTGTTTCCCAAAAACTTCAACTTCAAAAGCATTTACCTAGATAATGAGTTGTTAGGCATTCTTTCTTATGCAGTTGTCTGTATGGGTCGTGGCTATAGAATTACCTAAACATGTCAACTCTTTGCCGAGAAAAATAAACGTCCACAACAAAAGTTGCAAAGTAATGCGCCAATGATTAATTAAAAAATTCTTTAAACAGTTACCTTTTATAAAAAGCGCTTTACTTAAATGTTTCGACATCGGATACGAGCGTACTTTACCGTTTTCGAAAGTTAAGTCAAGATAAAAATAGGAAAGTCTGACCATTTGTTAACCTCCCTGAAAATTAGGGATATATTTTCTTCTGAACATGAAAAAACTCACTTTGCTAGGTTTTCGAACCATTTGTTACCCGGTACAAATTTAAAACACGCGTATACGGCAGAATTTGTTGACCTCAATAAATTTTCGTGGCAGCTTTTCAGTTGCACCTTGTCGCTGCTTGAGGATGGTGAGGTAGAGAACACGCTACCGTTTGAAATTTCGCAGAATGAATGGTATAACAGCAAGGGTCATAGTTCAGTTTAAATAATGATCAGGTAAAGGACGCTGCATTAATCAACGTATGGGAA